TAAAAAATTACGTAAATAGCTAAAGTCGAAGCCTTCTTTACGAGAATTAAAGAACTCACCGTATCTAAATCTATTTTAGCCTAGGTAAACATTATTAAAGACGGCTTCGAGATCGATATAGACGCGAGTAAATGAGCGATCGAGTACCGATTAGTATAATAGAATACGATTTATATCTTACTTTATTCGATCGCTTACGACGAAAAGAAGCTCTCTCCGGCCGAAATTAATTATTCTATATACGAGAAAGAATTACTAACTATTAAATATACGCTATAGATGTAGCGTATATATATTAACAATAGCTTTATAATTACGATTTAAATCGATTACGAGAGTCTTAAATACCTCGCGATAATAAAGAACCCGTTAAAAAGGCTTATAAGATAAATCGACGAATTCGGCGAATATACGCTAAATATTCGTTATCGAAAAGAGAAGAATAACACTATTCCGGACGCTATCTTCCGTCGACTAGATTAGATGAGCGAAGGCTCTCGGAATTAAGCGGTACGAGTCGCAGCGATTAGAATCGCGGATTTAGACGAAGACGAATAGACTAAATATATAGTTTAACTACTTAAATAAGATAGAGAACCTCTAGAAATCTTCTAAGAGCTTATTTACGTCTATAAATACGAGTTTACGACGAATAACGATAACTAGCTAATATATTAGTCGAAATAAAGATCTTCTCTCTATCTTCTCTATATATTTAGAGCTAATTTCGTAAAACGTATTTATATCGAATTCGATTATCTAGACTACCCGGGTTTAATAGAGGTCGTAACTAATCGCGACTAGTAATTATCGATCGAAAGAGATATTCGTAGCTTTATAAAATACTACTTAGTATATTAATACGCACAACGATAATGAACGAACTAAAAACGAGAACTTTTATAGATTCTATTAAGACGTAATCTAGATATATTCGATCGCTAAGCCGTGGACCTTATCGATATTCTTTTATAAACGTCCGTAGATAATCGATAAATCTTCATCGCCATCGAATATTTAACGAAATAATCTATTATCGTAGTCTTACTTAATACGAAGATCGAGATAGTAGCCCTTACACTATATAATTACGTTACGATAGTTTACGGACTAATATAAGAAATTCTCTTAGATAATAAGACGTAATTTATTAATTTTATTCTTAGAGTATACTTACGTCTACTTTAATTAAAACATCGCGTAACTAGCCCTTATTACCCCCGCACTAACGGAAAGATTAAGAACTTTAATAATATTCTTAAAACCGTATTAACGAAGTTACTAACTAATAAATCTACGATTCTCTAAGACTAATATCTATAATAGGCGATCTTCGTAATACGAATCCGCGTATACTCGAATATAAACTAGTCGCCGTATTACCTACTATACGAACGATAACCTCGTCTCCCGGGTAATCATAACGAATTACGACTATAAATAATTATCGAGGCTAACCGAGAGAATAGCTTAGAACGTATTAAACGAATATAGTACGCCCGAATAATCGCGAACGAACGACTAGTTAAGAAGGCGATTAAGATATAAAAGATTCGCGTAAATAGAGTTAAATCTTCGCTATTTATCGTAGACGACTAAGTCCTAGTATAAGCGGAAATCCGTATAAAGTTCGAAACTTAATAGTATAATCTATATAAAGTTATTAAAGCATTAGCTCTAGATACGTACGCGATCGTAGACTTATAAAGTAATATCGTAAAGATACTTATTAACGAATAACGACTTATAGCCGCGAACTACGACGATAACGAAATTAAGACTCTCTAAAATTTCTTAAAGATTTAAGAAGCTCTTCGAAAACGAAAAATCGAACTAACTAAATTATCGCCTAAAGTTATAGAGTTATTCGAGAAGAAGAACTTAAATATACTTAGTTACGACGAACTCTTTATAATAATAAAGAAGAAATAGCGCTAACTAGAACGAAAGTACGTTACTCTATCTTCGAAATAAATAGAATAAGAAATTACGAAAGAATACGCCGAGTTACGCATAGAAATAGCCGAAGCCCTAAAGAGCGATAAATAGTTCTTAGCTTTAGCGAAATCTTTTACGAAACTCGCCTAGAATACGCCTAGCGAAAAGTACGAACGAGTAATCGATATCGAGATCGACTTTATAAGAGACACACCGATAAAGAATATCGCTCTTACGGCTACTAACGAAGCTAACCTAAATAAAGATATAGAAATAATTTTATCTTCTATACCGAAGATCGTTAACTATAATAAGAATATTTCTATAAAGAACCCTCGAGAGAGAAACTCTTAATTAGTTACGGCTAATTACGAATCGTTACGACGAATATTAAGCTAGCACTAAGAATTAAAGACTACTATAGCGGAGAGAGTCCGCGGAAACTCTTACTCTCGGCCGGGTCTAAGAGAGCGCCCGGCTCGACGGTACCTCGGGTAGAAGCTATAGAAATTATAAAATAACTAGTAACGACGAGTAAAAACGTCGCGAAGATATAGACGAAGTATCTTTTCTTTATTATAATCTACGGCCCGCGCGAGCGGCAAAAATAATAGACTTATTATCTCTCTATACTCTCGTTACGACTAATTACGACGCTTTTAGCACTAAGGCGACTAAAATACGAATAGCTCTAAGCGTACTAGTAGATCGTAATAAAATCTATAGAGAGAAGAAATAGAGAGTATTTAAAAATAAAAAATTATTACGACTCGTTACGAATTATAACGACTTATAAACTTTCACGAGTCTTAGTCACCTTATTCTAACTAGTAAAAGATTTCGCCGAACGCCGTGTATAAAGAGTTACGACTCGTTACGAGCTATATATTATTAGCTACCCGTTAAAAAAGAGAAGATAAAAATCGTTAATTATTACTCGAAACTAGTCGTAACTTAACTTAATCTATTACTTACGACGGCTCGTAGACTCGCGACGCTTATTACGACGTAACGTAGTAGCGGAACTCTTATCGCGACTATTTATAATCGTAGTAAAATTCTTCTTATTACGACGTTTACGAGAGAAATTAGATATCTTATAAGTCTTCTTCTTCACCGCCTTAATCTTCTTATTCTTAGTGATTTTCTACGTCTCGGCGTCTAAGATTACTACGGTTAGTTACGAATAGTTACGACTAGAATGAATAAATATTATTTAGTTCTATTAAAGTATAATCTAGAGTCTTACTTTAAAATACGTAATACTTATATACTACGCTAAGTTAGTTATAAATAATTACGAAATAAAATAACTAACCACTATAATAAATTCCGGCGACCGAGCGATAAGTTTAGAAACGACCTAAATATTCCGTATATTTTATATAAACTAAAGTAAGATTAGCGCAAAACATCGTAATAACTCGTAACTACTTATTTTCATCGTTTACTACGCTCTTACGCTAAATAAGATAGGCTTCCTCGATATAAGCGCGTAGCTTTCGATCTAAAACCGATTAGAAATATTACGAGTAATTACGACTTCTCTTATTTATTACTTTTATTCGGCTTCTTAGTTATAAACTCTTAAGAATCGCGGAAGTCGACGCGAAGTTATTAATCTAAAAGAGTTTAGAAAGTTCGTAAGTTATCGTAATCTAAATATTCTTAGATACTTACTTTAAGAAACGTAGTATTACGCGACGCGCCCTAGACGTACGGACGGAGTATAGTAGAAGAAAATTACGACTAATTACGAACTAAATTAAAAAAAGAATAGAGTAATATAAAGAAAGAAGAGTTCGATACGATTACGACTTATCTAGAAGTATTAGAACGACTCTCGCTAAGACTTCTTATCTTCTTTACGATATTTATCGTAAACGGTCGTAACTTTCTTATAATTCACTCGAGAAAAGTTAAAAGTGAAGTAACGACGAGAACTAAGTGAAAAGAAAGTGAGGCTAATAGTGAGTAAAAAGTGAAATGACCCGGCTCGGTCCTCGTCGTAATCGGTCGTAACTTCCGTACGTATTAGGTCGTAACTATACGCACTAGGTCGAGTCTAGTGGGGGAAGAGTGTGAAATACGCTAAGACGCTGGTAATTATGACTATAAAAGCAGCCTCCCCGACTAGATAGATTAAGAATAGTCCAATACACTTTTACACTTCATTTCACACCTATAACTCTATTCTACAGTATCAGTATTACTGCGCGACAAAATCTACGGCTGCCGGCGTCTCAGCGGCTGTCTACAACTCCTACTTTAGCCTAGGCTTACGAGAGAACTCAATGCCCAAAATCCCTCTTGCTCTCTCAACACACACCCACTTGCGGCGACCAATCTCCACTAAATGTCTCTGAGCCTAGTTTAGACCACATCCCCATTAACCACGGACTCTCAGTCGTTGCTATCGCAGACTAAAAGCCTTCGGTAGCTTAGAAGAGGGCCAGGCAAGTGCTTTCGACCCCTAAAGCGCGCCTAGCTGAGTACGCCCGGCTAACCTGGCTCCTTAAGTACACTGTGTCAGTGATAGAGAGTATACATCTCTCCGATGGTAGCTCCTATATCTCACACTTAAATCTCACTAAGTAAAGCTATGCTCATCATAATATATCGTTCGACTCTATGAGCAATCTGTGTAAGTGATGCGGTTTAAACGGGTCCTCTATAAATACTCACCGAGGCTGAGCAGTGTTGCTATAAGTGTCTATCTTGTAGCTATGCTTATTAGGCACCTGGCCTCTTGGGTAACCGTAATGCCAGGGATCTATTCCCTAAATTCACTAGATATAGCTTTAAAAGCCGCCGTACTTCGATGCACCCACAACTTAAGACGTCTTTTTATCGCGACCGCTGGCGACGCGGCTTTAAGTCATCTTTGATGAAGACTCTCATCACAATGTCGAGGTGTATAAAGCTAGCATCGCTTAGAGATCACTAAACAAGCTACCTCGAGATAGACGACATAACTAGAAGAATAGAACTAAAATTCCACCAACTGAATCAAGATTTTAATTTCCTCTAATCTCTAGCCCCGTATAGATTTAGGTGAAGATATGGTATTCTTCATAATTTTTCTAGCTATAGTCACCTATCTGGTTTTCGGCACCGAAGCGTTTAAAGTTTCCTTTTATAAGAACATAAATTATGCTGAGGAATTTGTCCGTGCATGGATTGGAGGAGAGGGACAAGGCTGCCGGCAGAAATACGCGTAAGCACCTATGTAATCGAAGTTATAGATTGGACTCTAATACATTCTAGCGGCCTAGCTAAGGGAGTTGTTATTGAATCTACCGGCCCGGTCGATGATTCTACCACCGTACAATTTTATAGCTCAGAGGACTGCGCCCCAGAAACTAAAATTAGTCGAGCTGATGCCGGTTGCCTCACTATCGACCAAGACGTTATTGGGGCATATAAGTCGTTCTAGGTTGTGGCTAGCACCGTCCTAGGCCTTCCTTCTTCTAAACATCGCTCTTTTAACCAGCGACGATATCCTTTCTCGCATTCGTCTATCACTAGAGCGATCCCACCGACATCACAAATCTACCATGGAATGTAGCTATCATTCGAGGGCACCGATTATAAGCTGTGCTAAATACATGTCAACGTATATATAGGTATTCTACCCGATGAGTGGGACGACTCTATTTATATCATGAACGATATTGATTTAGCGCATTACGAGCTTTCCCGAAACCTCATTAACAGGGAAGTTGACGAGCGTGACTTGGTTGAGGCCTTATGTAATACATTCGCCATATATATTTCGGCCGCGAGAACGGGCGGCCCTATCCTCAAGGGTACCATCACTCCGTATTTCAACGCTGTGAAAACTGTTACGTAGGCCGGAGGAAAGAAGGTCCTTGACCTCTTAAAAAGCCCTTTCTTCACTTAAGTCGCAGTCGATAAGTTACGTCTCATTAACTTTCTTTCGTTCCCCCCAAAAGCTACGAGACCGGCTACTAACTATGAAGCACCCTAGATACCCTTGCTAAGCTAGTTCCCGGAGCTGTCGGAGGCGTCGTTTAAGCTGTTATAAGAGCCCAAGTATCAGGAAATACGAACAATACTGCAGCTTACTCTCGCGAGAACGACTAAATCGACGCTCTCATATTAATCGTGAATTCTTAAATATCGGCTCTGTCAGCGGCGTCGGTAAAGATAACGGCTCAGTAGAATGACGCTAAAGATAAGGTCTTTACTGTCACTATGACCGTTATGGTCTGCGGTGTAACTCTTAAATCGTCCGCCTACTGTGTTATAGGCGGGTTTTGCTCTTCCTAGAGGTGGCATCTAGCGTTATGGCTTTTATGTTTTAATAGTTAGTTTTGGCGTTTTAGATGGGTTGGCGCGTCTCCTAAGTAATAAGGCTAATGTTAGAGGTACTGTTGCTAAACTACATTTTGTCCTATCAATCGTATACTGAAGGGCGCCCTTATTTTGTACACTTACCGCTCGTTATGATGCTAGCTTTGTTTTCATTGATATTGTACGCTAATCGCCTTAACTGTCTAATAGAAACGTTAGATATGTTAGCGAGCCGCTGCTTATTAGAATAAGTAGAATAATATACTAATGTTTCGAAATAATTTCTTCGATTTTAAGTAAGGTAGACTCTATCTAATGCCTGGCCATTAAATCTATAATTTTAATTAGTCTTCTTAGAGAGTCCCCTCTCCTCGTCTTATTAGCTCGCTGACTTCTCTTTAAATCTCTGCTAACCGTCTAGCGCCCGGTTTATATTATAGTCTTTAATAAAGAAAGCTAGGAGAAACGTAATAAACGATAATGTACTTAAGATAAGAAATATCGTCCTCAGCGATCTTATATACGCTAACTGTAACTCCTGCTTTTACTCACTCTCTACCGGATCTCGGATGATCTGCACTAATGCGGCCGCATCCCGTGCTAACTCACCGGCCTGATCCGCAAAATGTCGACTGCCTTGTAAGTTCTTCTTCATTTAATTTTGGAAGACAACGTCGCCAACGGCGACGCCCACGGCCTGGCCGAATATGGGGAAGAAAGAGAAGGTAGAGACGGCGAAGGCTTAATCGGCATCGGAGCTTGTATGCCTAAGCCTACGCCTAAGACGGTGATTAGTGTAATCTAGGTAGGTACGCCGGTGTCGATGTCGAGTTGCACCATAAGGAAGACGCCAAAGGTGGTGAGGGCGAAGCCTAGCAAGATTACCTATCTATACTTGCCTATCTTGGTAACCAGGCAGCCGGTGATGATGGCAAGGGGCGCGACGATAAACGTGTCCGGGAAGAGCGTAACGTCGGCGATAATAGGTCGATAGCCCTAGACGGCTTCGAAGTAGAGAGGTAGGTAGTATTGTAACAGAGCACTTCAGAGTTCGGCGTACACGTGCAACAACGTATAGAGGTCTATCCAGCAGATCGGGAATCGAGAACGCGTTTCTGGTTAATACTGACAACAATATCACCAACACCACCCAGAGGGGCAGCGGCTAGGGCTACGAATGCCTAGCACAGCGGGAGCATCGAGGGACAGAACAGAACTAATAAAAACACTTAGAAATTAGGTAGACGGCGCTAAAAAGCCATAGAATTCATGATACTCTGCTCAAACTCATCGGCAAAATTTCCCGCGCGACCCTGAGAGCCCTGGGCTGCCCTGGGCTGTCAAGGTAAGTCTGCGTCTTACGCAGCCCATGAGACCGCTGGGCTCGCTGGGCTACTCTAAGAGAGCTCATAGGCTACTCTAAGAGAGCTCATAGGCTACTCTAAGAGAGCTCATAGGCTACTCTAAGAGAGCTCATAGGCTACTCTAAGAGGGCCCTAAGCTAATATTGTAATAGAGCACTTCAGGGTTTGGCGTGCACGTACAACAACGCACAGAGGCCTGTCCAGCAGATCGGGAATCGAGAACGCGTTTCTGGTTGATACTGACAAGACAGCACCACCAACACCACCCAGAGAGGTAGCGGCTAGAGCTACAAACACCTAGCACAGCGGGAGCATCGACGGACAGAACAGAACTGATAAAAAACACTTAGAAATTAGATAGACGGCGCTAAAAACCATGGAATTCATAATGCTCTGCTTAATCTTTAATAAATGACTCACTATCAGTACTGTAAACTGTTCTATACTCCCTTCTATCAGCCCATTTAGATTTAATATATTGTAACAGAGCACTTCAGGGTTTGGCGTGCACGTGTAACAACGCACAGAGGCCTATCTAGCAGATCGAGAATCGAGAACGCCTTTCTAGTTGATACTGATAAGACAACACCACTAACACCACCTAGAGGGGTAGCGGCTAGGGCTATAAACACCTAGCACAGCGGGAGCATCGACGGA